CTAAAAGAAAGAGGCTTTTTCGTTATTCCATATTTTTTTCCAAGAAAAGAAAAAGGAATGAACTAATTCAGAAGGCTTCCGGTTACATCATAACCGCATGGGATTTCTCTCACTTCGAAATCACGCGAATGAAAATCGAGCGGGATTTCAACTCAAAAGACGCTGTTCATGTTTAATTTGCGTTGAAAAACGCAAGCTTCCTTTTGTTGCTCAAAATTCATTTGCAAAACGTCAGACACGCACTAATTTTCAAGACATAAAACCGAAATGCTTATGAAGATTGTCAGAAAAAACCGCGATACTTAATCGGGAACATCTGTTCCCTATATTTTTTTTCAGAATTCCGCTCGAATAATAATGTGGCAATATTTCTGAAGATTCGAGGGTTAGCTCATCAGTTTGAATTTACCATTCTTGAAATTCCTAATGTTTACCAAATACAGTAGTAATTTCCACAGATCTAAGTTCGAACGAACTTAATACGGTGTTTAAAACGCTTGTGATTGCTATAGGTAATTTCGGAAAGGAAATCAGCCAACGCGAGCATTTTTCACATACAATTTCAAGGTAGTCGAGGGGTTGCATATTCATAATCGGTGTTACTTCTCATTACATTGAAAATATCGACAAAAATTGGTTTGATGTTCAACTTCTGACTTTCGAGCTCTGTATAGCAGCGATTTGCGAGATTGTGTGCTTTGCGAAATGTTTTTTCTGCGATGAAGTGGACAAACAGCTTCCTCACCTTCGGCCTCCAGATCAAAATTTGGCAGGCAATCTGCATATTTTGTCTAGATTTATTCAGACAAGCTTGATTCAGTAACATACGTACCTTTCATCGTATTTCCAGCTCACGACACGCTAAATTGCTTAATTCAAGCGTCCCCCGAAAGAATTACATGACTGAACCTGCGCTGAAAACAAAATGTTTAAAAAAAAACTAGAAAAAAATTAAAATCGTCCGTATAATTTACAATTGCCCCGAGAGAGGTTCAGATAAGCGTCTGAAACCTTAAAAGTCAAATAAACTTCCTTCGTCTATTTTCTCAGCAACTCGATGCGTATCGAAGTTGAATCCGACACCAGCACTGCACAGGAAAGATACCAATTTTACGCTCTTTAAAGCCCTCCGAACGACTCCTTCAAAGTGCTCAACAAGTTTTCCGCATCCCGATTTCACGCCGGGAAGGCGTGTGTGTGTTTATGCATACCAAGAAAAGGGATCCCGTGTCTCAAAAGGGGAAGAATAATTTATACTCACTGCTGCCGAGTTTGGTCCAAGTGCTGACCAGTGTTTGAAAGCCGTGAATCTCGCCTTAAGGGCGTGGACACTTTGTGTGCTTTACATCCCGGCGCGTGTCGGTCAACAGGCAAAGCGGAGAATCCTTTCCGCTCGTCTGCTGCCCAGTATTCGGCGATAAAAAAATATATATTTGAAAGAAAAAAAAATGCCAGGGGAGACACACGAAAAGATAAAACTCAAGTACGTGTTCTTTTTTCTTCTTCAAAGATTTTCAAATACAATAAAGGTGAAGAAAGAGGTGCTGAGTGAGGAAAGGTGCGACGGACGTGCGTAACTGATACGCGTGACGCGTTTTGAAGGGTGCTGGGTCGAATGAGCGCCAAGCCCAACTGATCGTCTGCACAACTGAGAGTCAGATCAACGAGCTACAAATTACACTCAAAAATCTGCCGTGAAATCCAGACAACGTCTCGATATAGGAACATTTTCATCAACATTTCTAAAAAAAATAAGTAGGAAAATTTGCACATTTCACGATTTTAATTTCTCTCAAACAAATTGGGATTCCTGTCTTCACAAAAATAAAGAATAAATGATTGGAGAATCATTAGCATTCATAATCGAAAAACAGTTTAATTTTGCGATCCTTTTTTCAAAGTTCTTTCAGTTATCATAAGTACAGCATATGAAGACATGTGCTTGTTCTTTGTTTCTTGGGCTCCGCTTCATGCCAAAAGATCAGATTATGTGGGGTTTTGCGCTGTTTTTTTTTTTTTTAGTTTCTTGAAGTTGAAAACATTTATTTTTCTTGTGGCTTTCTCCTAATTTGTGATCAACAGGAGAACCGATTTAAATATGTTACCATTGAAATCTTTGAGGAAACGTTCTCTGACGTGTGGACGCTACAACGAGGGGACAAGATTCAAGCACCAATCATGTCCGCATCTTGGGGCCCCAGTGGATCATTCCACTCAAGGCTTGTTGGAATGACCAATAAAAACTGTTTCTTCGAGCGAAATGTAATTTTTTTAGCTCGAAAGGAAGCATTAATTTTTATAGATGCAAACTTTTCTACGAAATCTAGAAAAATCCTCAGTTGGCAGTTGCTCAATCAATCCTGGCTCTATTTTGAATGGCGCACAGTTGAGCGAGATTTCAGGCGAACATCCATCGAAACGTACGTATAAATAATATCGTGTTTGCTTTCGAAAAAACGAAAAAATATCCTTGGAATATCTACTTCAAAACGCAACATCTGTTGTCTTGAAAAGTTGAAATACGTCGTGAAACGAGCTGATATCGTGTATAGAAATCTAGATAAGATGTTGCTTGTAAAGGCTACAGAAGTTCGAAATGTATAAAACATTGGATTTTCAAAGGATTCACCTTCGATGTGATCCGCAAGTAGTAGGGATTTAAAAATGATGATGATGAACTGTCACTTCACTAAGTCTTTTTTTTTTTGGATGAATTCTTGGTGTTTTAATACGATGCTTTCTTGAACTTCGCTGCTGATTCAAATTGCTTTGGATGAATCTTGTATTGAGCTTAATATAAACATTTTTTCCCCGTTTCTCGTCCTAGAATTCACGCAGATGTTTCATCGTGGTTCGCAGCACACTTAAAAGAGTTGATTCTCTGATTCATGCTTCATGAGGGCAGCACAAGTTACGGTAATGGAATAGATAAAAGAGGCTTTTATGTTTCAAAGTTTTTTTTTTCTTCATGCAAATCGATCCTGCCTTCGAATAAATGCTAAGTATGTTAGACCACCTACGAAATATTGAAGGGAAACGTTACCGTCTTCGATTCATTACCATATTTGATACCATGATTATCGTATTACTGCCTCTCATTGTATCAAATCACATACTCCGTTCAGGCCATATTTTAATCCCGGTTTCTGGGATAGATCTCTCTTTATCCCCAGAGAAATTATTCTCAAATTGGCAACCAGCCCAAGGCCAAGGTATACAGTATAAATCAGGCACCAATACCAAGCCTTGGGCCATGATGAAGGTCTCGGTGTTCTTTCAAGAATGCGATTGATTTATTTTTAAAAATAATAATAAAGGAAAAGGTTCGCCACGTTCCAACAAGAACAACATTCCTAGAATGAGCCCTGGTTACTGCCAAAATCCGGAATGATTAAATTTCAAGCGGAGTTGGATCAACTGTTTCTTACAAGTTTGAATGTACAAGCCATTCAATATGCGCTGCTTGAAATTCAGGTTATCGATTCCGGTAGGCTTTGTCAAATTTTTTTTTTATCAAGAAAACCGGTAGAAAAAAGTCTACTTCAATCTAGAAGAAAATCTTTAGAAAATCGTCTGTGGCAATTATAAAAAAAAAAAAAATTCAGAAAAAACCGAATACTGCATTTTAGTACTTTTTCCGCCATTCCCGAAAATTTAACCCACTAAATGGTTCCCATCGAAAGGTGAAACTTCTCGATTGGAGTAGAAGTCAACACATTCGAATTCGGATCAATTTCTTGCACAAAATGTTATATGATCGAAAAATTTATCCCAGGTCTTATTAACATTTTCTTCAATTAAAAAAATTGTGTACAGGCCTCAAATACAGTACCTTAGTTTAACTGGAAAGAAGGGCATATTAAAAGAATGTGAAGGAATAAAAAAATTGAGAATACCGCCGAGATTTTTATTTTTTTGCAAGCGCAGGTGTGACTTTTCAATTTATTGCAGCATGAATCTTAAGGTTGTGTCCGTTTCCAGACAAAATTCTTGATAACGCTACAGTTTTTGCTTTTTTTAAACGAAAAACTCGTCGTGCTGGTCCGAAATTTCTGCTGTTATACTGACGTACTGCACACAACACGCATTGAATGAATCTGCTCTGCCGAAACTCCACAGAATACCTGCATATTTTTCGCCATTCCCAAGCAGAAATTCAACCCGTGAGCAACCACAAAAATGGCGCATCTTTCACGGCGAGACTTCGTGATTCCACTCAGCTCATCGGATGTATAGTCCCGTTTCTCAAAGAAATTTCTTCATCAAGTCCTGAAAGTTTTACTTCTTCGAATGAGGGATTCGTTTTATTGTCTACACTGGAATTACTGACTTCAACCCCTAAAAAAAATATTCCTATTAAAAAATAGTCTGGGAAGAACGGGAAAAGATTTTACGAGACTCCGTAGTTCACCGCCCCTACATAAAATACAGTACTGCATATATATATATATACACACGAGACTAGGATGGAGTCATGACACAAGAAGCGATGAATGAATCTGCTCTGCAGAAATGGCAAGTTCTGCATAAAATGAGGAACAGCACATTTTTCGCCATTCCCAGAAATTACACTCCTGAGTAATTAACCACATTAATGGCTCTTTTTGTATTATGGTGAGACTTCGTCATTCAAGTCATTTGGGTCCAAAAATTTATCGATTGAAAAAAAACCGTAAATCCTAAAATGTCAGCTTTATCAAGAAACGAATTCGTTTTACTTTACTCTACTGTACTGGAATGTAACCCCTGAAATATTTTCATAATAGAGATGGGAAAAAAAAGGCTGGGAGGAACGGGAAGATTTTTTCGGGAATTCGTGGTTCACCGCACCTCTTATATACAGTCATACAGTACAGCATACGGTATATATATATATATATATATCTATACACACACACGAGACTGGGCTGGCATCATCATGACACAACACGCGATGAATGATTCTGCTCCAGAGGAGCGAAGGCATGCGATGAATATCAAAGAATAAACCCGAGGATTTAATGGCTCGGTGTATTATCAAAACCCGCGGCCTTCACGCCGGCAATCCGATGCCCAGCGGGAAATCTGGCCCGTGTCCCACGCTCAGGTCGCAACACCGATTTTTCCTCTTCCCCGGCACATCATACGAACACCGAGTATGCAGCGTATCGAGTGAGAGGTGGTCTCGTAACGACCCTGAGGTTCCTCATTTCAGAGCATATTTCATACTAATGGGCCGAATCTCCGCTGTGCATTAAGGCTGTGCCGAACAAGTCCTCATCCTCGCATTGTTTTTCTCATCCCCCCCCCCCCAATGTACCACCATTTTCACGACGTGTAGAGGGGAAAAAGTGGCAGGAAATTCTCCCTCGTCAGTGAAATTTCCTTTCGGCGTCCTACAACTTGTATATACTGTACTATGAACTATATACGCATCAGAGAAATTTCGCGGTAATCATCATTAAGGAACACCGGTAGCAACAATAGAGAAAAAACCGGATGCGTTGTGATGCTTCAAAAAGTCAGCAGCTCAAAACCGTGTTTCACGAGTTCACTTTCTGGTGCTGGGGGAAAATTATATCATAGGGTGTGCTACTATGTCTTCTAACCCTTTTCTTCACGCATTAACTACTCGGTAACGCGCTAAATTTCCAAACAGCATCCATTTTTAGAACACCTTAATCAGATATTCGAGCCTCGGACCTTCAAACTACAAGTTTGCTCACTTAATATTACAGATCGGTGAAACCAAGTCAGTGCGAGACGATGATCCAAGCCACACCAATCGGGTCAAAAGGATCAACAATTAAGAGAAATATCTCTTTATAACGAATTATTGCTTGCAACGAATTCGTTCTTCAGGTTCCTTCCCGAGAGCAACAATGTTCATAACGAATTCATCTCGATACGATAGCGAAGCGTTTTTCCCGGTCCCGAAAGCTTTACTAAAACGAGATTTTATTTTATTCGATTCTGGTAAAAATTAAAATGCTAACGAAGAACTTCGTGGCAGCACACGCAATCTAGGATTTAGCTTGGATTTATAATTTTCAAAGACCAACAATTCGTGTTTCAAAAATAAATTCTGCCATTCTTAAATTCTTTTCGAGCGAAATAGAGCGATGCAAATTTGTAAAATAGGCCAGAAAACCTCGCTTCATCGAAATAAATTTTCAAGGCAAATTATCTCGAAATAAATTTGCATCGCGATACGACCAAGGTCAGTTTTCAAAGACATTTCATGGTTTTTGCCGAAGAAAGTTATCAATATCAATAGATGAATAAAATTTGTATGAAAAATAATATTATATTTCGATTGAGAGCATTACGAGAACTTCATGCACCATCAAATACAACAAATTTCTTGAATTCAGTGTCTCCGAAACCGCACCCATTTTCTCCGATAGAAATTTGAAAAACGGACCCAGATTTCCCCTTCCACACTGTTGGTGACTGAAGTCACTACAACAAGAAAAAAACTAGGCTGTAAAGAAAGAGATTAGTTGATAAAACGATTTTAAGAAAACACAGAATCAGCCCGGGACAGGGGCCGGGAATTCACGGTGGAATCCCTATTTAAAAGTTAAAGTATATTTCGAGAAGTCCCAAAATTTTAGATAATGAACAAAACAGACAACACAGATTTTTGACGATTTTCGAACAAGATATTTTTCAGAAAAGACCTCTCAAAAAACCTCTGATCACGCTGTGGCGGCAACAAAACAAGAACTGTGTGTTTTTGATGAAAGCAAGGGGTATTTATTGATTTCTTTCCCTGCTCTTGATCAAGGGGGTTTGATCAAGGGCAGGGAAATCCTGAAGGCCTGGGATTGGCCGACAAATCGGTAATCGAAGACGTCTTGGCGCCAAGACAGACGTCTTGGCGCCAAGAAAGTTTAATTTTTTTCTTGGGGAGGGGAAACCGTTGACGGATTTCGTCCGTTTTTTACGCACGGGTGGTTTTCCACCCGATTAGATATTTTTAATTGATTTTTTATTCGGGGTGCGCCGCGAGTCCCCAACAGGTGCAGTGAGTCACTGAGTGGAAAAAGTATTCAATGTTTTTTTTCTACGAAGAAGCTGCTGATGAAAAAAAAATTCCTGGCAAAAATGCAAGAGATTTCTATACTGTAAACGTGTTGCCAAGGAAAGGCAATTTTTTAAAGAAGAAAGCCACAAAAAAAATCATGGCAGCTTACAGGTACATTATACTAGTACTGTATAGTACTTGAAAGATTTTGAGAACAATTCTTTTGTGTGATTGATGATTGGATAACGCCAGGAATTTTTCCATTCCTCGCATTTGTGCATCTTTTCTTTGCGAAAATTGAACCAATTTTGGGGGCCGAATTGAAGTTTCAATTTTAAACTTTTATTCAAGGATACATTGCGCTAGGTTTCTAATAACTGCAACTTTTAGTATAATTAATCTCTGTACGTTTCTTTTTCTTCTAACATACAAGCTCTGAAAATTTTCTTTTGATCAGTCCTCGCGGAATGGACATTTTCTTCAGAATAAATTTTTTTTTAGTTTTGCTGCCAAATTTCACCGAGGATAAACCCGCTGAAAAATTGACTCTCAAATTTTACGTCTATAAAGGTTGTACCTTAGAAAATTCTCGATGAGGTTTTTTTCATTTACAGCCGAAGGATCAAGTTTTGCCACAAATTTTTGCTGAGAATTAATGTTTGAAAATGTGTGCTGATTTCAGGCGTTTCTTTGAGGCCGCAAGTGTCCACAGACAAGATAACGTACCTCGCTGTTTACGACGTGGCCAACTCCGAAAAGCGAGAAAAATACGACCAAGACCTGAAAGATTACGTGGCCAAAGAAGGTGAAAATTTGAATTTATTTTCCGATAAAATCTCAAAATTAATCTCCCCGAAGTAGAAGAGATTCTTTTTAAAATTTTGAAAACAAAATAAAATGTCCTTGTTTTTGCTTTGTGTAAATTGAAAAAAATTCTGTGGTTTTTTCACATTTTGCGGTTTGTGTCCTCGGGACACTGTTCGAAGTAAGGGAATGCAGAGCTAATTTCTTTTTTGCAGATTGAAATGGCTATCCCGAAGCAAAGCCTATTTTTTTCAGCCATGTAAATTTGATAATTGTAGTTACCATACTCTTGACAATTGTTTCTTTAATTTGTTTTTCAAAAGCTTGAAAAAAAACATGAGCACGTTTTAAATTTTGAAACTGGCTTTTTCACCTTTTCTTCGACAACAACAAAAAATAGCTTCTCCTGGTTACGAGGGTTCCTTAGGTGAAAATTTGACTTTATTTTCCAATCAAATCTCAAAATGAATCTCGCCGAAGGAGAAGAAATTCTTCAAAATTTTTGAAAACTAAATCAAATTTTCTTGCTTGTGGCTTTTGTGTGAATTGACAAAATCCAGAGTTTTTTTCAAATTTTGCGCTTTGTGCCCTCGTGACACTTTTCAAAGTGAAGGAATGCAAAGTTAATTCTTTATTTTTACAGATTGAAATGGCTGTCCAGAAGTAAAGCCTATTTTTTTCAGACATGTAAATTTGATAACTGCAGTTACTATACTCTTGAAAATCGGTTCTTTAAATTTTTTTAAAAGCTTGAAAAAAAACATGAGTACGATTCAAATTTTGAAACTGTCTTTTTTCACCTTTTCTTCGACAACAATGAAAAAAACAGCTCCTCCTGGTTACGAGAGTTCCTTAGGGGAAGCAGCATCTATAAACGTGCAAAAATCGGCGAAACACAGCAGAAGAGAAGCATTTGGTTGGACGAACCAATCCATGGTCTCTGTGATTGGTTCCGGTGTCAAGTTTGACGCCTCTGCGGGTTGCGGGGGACTTGGGTTCGGGTTCGCCAACAAGCAGCCTTGTTTCCTCATTCGACCAGGGAGGGTGAGATATCAATAAGTCCTTACTTCATTTTTTATATTTTTTATTTGCTATACAGTATTTCCTAAATTCGAAGTCTTGGAATCCTCATGGTATCAGGTGAAATTATGAAAAATTTCACAACAGTTGTTTGAATAACAGGAGCAAAGATGCGCACCTGCATTTTTGACTAAAATTTAAAGAAAAATGTTGTTGCACAGCCCGATTTTTAGGGGCAAAAAATCTAAATGTTTTCGAAGCTATGAAATTACAATGGGTGAATTGAGTAGGCTCAAATAAATTTTGTTTCAATGACTTTTATTTTATTTCCTTCTCCTTTTTCCAATGGGTCAGCCGTGGTTTGAAGAAAAAAAAACTCGTAGATTTCGAAAATTAAACATCACCTGTCAGAATAAAATGCAAATTACGATACAATTCATCGAACTGCAAATATTAAATATTGGTTGATGAAAATAATTATTCTCGATTTATCTCGCAAATGATATGCTGAAATGTCAATCACTACTTGAGCTTTGATAAGCCTTGCCCGTAATGTAAGAGTGTTGTATTCTACAGTATATATGCTTTAGTCATGATTTGATTAGCTTTTTCGAGCCTAAAATTTCAATACTTTTTAAAATTTAAATCTACAAGAACCGGCTATATATCCTTAAATTAAAATGTGATTTAAAATACTGTATGAAAAATAAAACAAATACGCATTGACGCCTTTTCAAATGAAAATTCCGAAGTGCTTCTCGGGAGTGTGTCGTCATTTTCAGCTGAAGAAAATATCCTTTTTATAGTATCATCAACATTTAAAAATAAAGTCCTTTAGTGAAAGTAATTTTCTTTCCATTATTCATCACATTCGATTATTCGGTGATGGGCACCTCGGAATTTCCACTTGAAATCCGGATTCTGCTGCACAATATTAATTTGAAAGCATTTTTCAGAGTCGATTGGAATTCGGAGGCTTCATTGTTATATTCATTCACTTCGTTTAATTTTCAAAGATTTTCAACTGGGTTCCGGAAACGTTTGACAACTTCGAAGAAATGGAAAAGCACATGCCTAAGCGGATTCCCAAGGAGTATTTCGGCGTTGCTGCTGTGAGTGTTCCCTCTTTTTGGTTTATTAAATTAATTGGAAAAAGATTCAAATAATATGAAACAATAATTCGAAAATAGGAATTGATAAAAAATTAATTTGAAGGCCACGCACTACAGCTATACATTGTTTCTTCATCGAGCATATGGCTCAAATTCCTTGCTGAGGAAAATTCGGTGAAAATTGGGTCAACTGATTGGTGTCAATCTTTAATTTTAGTCTGTTTCATCTTAGAAGCCATACCTGGATAATTCATAATTGAGTCATTCGAGCGAATTGCAGTACTGAATATAATAATAATTATTTATAAACGGTTCTTGTGTCTCGAAACGCAGCGTCCGGCGACTCCCAACCCTTGGCTAAAAGCAAGGGAGCATATGTTCGTTTTAATCAGTATAGATGTCGCGCATACAAGAAGCCTCGAAACTCGAAAATGAAGGAAAATGAAATAGGTCAAGTACTGAAGTGGGCGATAAAATCGAAAATATATATATCGAATAACGTGCAAAGAAACGTGTTTGCGTGCGTTTTCTCTGCGGAATCACTTATCACATTACTGCGCGCACCGTAGTCTTGTTCTGTACGAAAGTGTACGTTAGTGCATCGGTCGGATCGTGGGATCATCTTCACAGCAAGAATAATTCATGACGCAACGAGTTTTTTCTCTTGTTGGTAGATGTCGCACGACGTATGAAAAGACCAGTTTCTTTCGCCGTAGTCCTGTATCTGCAATTCTGAGTACGATTTTGATGTATTAGAGCACTGCATTGCAGCATAGTTCAACAGGAGACAAAAATACTGTACTGTATTGCATTTCAGCATCTCTTGTAATATTCTTCAAATCTCTACTTTGTTCTGTTATTCACCAAACCAGTAGTTCGTAATGTTGTTTTATTTTGAAATGTTTTGGTTTGTAATTTCAAGCAGCGTTCTGCTTTCTCTCGAGTATTTAGAAAAATCAGAAATACAGTATATCTGCGTTTTTTTCGAAGCGATAGTTGACTATTTCTAAAAATGTTTTCTTAATTTTTACGTATCCTCAGTGGAATGAAAAGTGGTAAAATGGGCAAGAATGAACCTTTCTGTGCTTAAAAATAAAGCGTTACTAACATACTGTACATCAGTTAAGCATGATAAAATACTGTAGTTTAATCAATAAACTGCGTTACCTGTGTGCTTCCTATCTTCAATCGTGGCGGTTTCTATATATGAGTACAGTACTATTACAATTAAGTCCGATATTCGTCAATTTTCAAAAATCTTGGAAACTCTTTTTATCCCTGAAAATTTGATTTCAAGTTTTTATTTTTCCTCCCGCTTCTTTAGACTTCGATGGTGCCTGGAGTTCTTTGGGTCGCTTGCTACCCGTATGCCGGTGAATCCCTGATCGAAAAAATAGTTTACGTAGGTCCGAGTGTTGGTGGGAAAAACGTCAACGGGTTCCCAGTGAAGGGTTTCTTCCCTGTGAAACCCAGGACAGGTACAGAGCAGCGCGCGGCCGAGGCCGCGGGCAAGGGCCCCCATGCCCCGATGCCGTACATGTACCTCAAGGTGTACCTCAAACAACAGAGAGGTGAGCAAACTTTAAAGGGCAAACTTCAGTCTCTTGAAGCTAGCAAATAGAACGATTTTCTGTGAAAAAGTCTATGCTTGCTCGAATTATGTTTATTGTACGAGGACCCATTGTATTATTATTTTATATTTTCTAAAAACATGATGCAATCTCAAATGAAGAGGGAACCTTCAAGTCTGACACGGAAGAACGCCAAGTTGAAATTCAGTGTTACCAGTTGGCAAAAAATGTCCCATTGGATCTCACGAGGCGATCGGGAATGAACATTTTTACTATTCTTGCGGCCGGTTATTCCGTTAAGCCATTTAGTATTGGGTTTTTATTGTGCTTATCCTTTATTCAACGGTATTTTATCATCGGATAAAGACTTGTGGCAATTTCACACCAAAAAAAGCGACATGCGTTATCCGAGTAGCGGATTCTGAAATTTTGGTGTTAAGAACATTTTTCTTTTCTTTCTATCGACCTCTATGACTTTGAGATATGGTGTCGTTTTTTGAATTTAGCATAGCGCAATAGATGTCGCTCTGCGCATATCCTGAACCTTCGGCGGAAGTTGATGAATCTCTGATCAACTTCGGGGTGAACTGAAATTTTTGTGCCAATGCTGTGAATCCTGTGATCATTACTGTACATATTGATTCAGAATTTTCTCCTTCCGATTCAGGCTGAACGTTGGAAGCACAATGAATGGCTTTTGATAATTGCAAACCGCCTGAAATCGATTCGTTATAATGGAAATTTATCTGAAAACTCTTCACGATTAGATTTGTGAGCCATGATCCTTGTTTTAGAGATAATTTCGATTTGTAATTACACTGAGAATAGAACTACTGCTGATTGAAAGGATAAGGATGGAAATGCGATAAAAAATAATTCAAATCTCCATCTTCTATAGTGCAGTGTTCCCCGACCTCTTTGGGCTTGAGGACCAGCAAATTCCCATAAACATTTTTGGGGACTGGCACATTTCCAAAAAAATTTCTGCAGACCTGAAAAGTTTCATAAAATTTTTGTAGACTCAAACAAGTTTTGTTTTAAAGACATTGGCAGGCATTTGAAACATTGCTGATTTTTTTTTTCAAAAATTGTGTAACCAAGAATGCAGCTGTATTTAGTGGAATCCTTGAAAAAATAGAAAGTTGCGCTTGAAGAGAGGTTTATCAGAATGAAAAATTGAATTAATTTATTCCAGCAGTTGGAAATTTGTCTGAAGGATTAATGGAAGAAAAAGCCAGTTTTTGTATTTGGTTCAAATAATTTTAAATGCCATTGTCTTTCCAGAATTTCAGATTAAGATAACAAACTTCATTCCTTATTTTGATAAATGTTTCATGATGAAGAAAATGTGTTCATTCAACTAAACCTCACAGAAACAAGCTGAAGTCCTTGTGGTTTAAATTAATTTTTACATATATTTTTGTTTACCAATGACAGGGAGTGAATGTGTGTATGCATACATGTCAGATGTCCAGTTGTATTTCATGTTGTAATGTATTTTCTTTTAATTTTGTAATCAATTTGTGCTTTCCTGCTCTGAAGGGATTAAATGTCATTGAGCGGATTTGGGTTGGGTGGGAATGGGGTGTGGTTGTGGAAATCTTGATTGAACCTTGTGAACGCTGAGTAGCGGCAAATAAAGTGTTCTGTCCATTCATTCAAGAAAATTTCCTGCAGGCTGGAAAAATACTTCTGCAGACCAGCCCTGGTCCCTGGACCACAAGTTCGGAACAATCGTCTAGGGATTCTTTGAAGAAAGGTGTGCCTGGTGTTTTGTTGAATGCAATAATTCTTGTTGGGACCGAGGGTTGTTGAATGCAATCAAAAATATAATAGCGCAATTGCAATTTCAATCCAGCACAAAAAGTATTCCCCAATCAAAATTGCAATTTCAAGTCACTAATGTTTGACACCCCCAATTTTCAATCACAATACATTTCTTTTTATTTTTGCCCAATTGCAATTGCAAGCGTAATTGCGACTCTTTTCAGGATTTCCATCCTGTTCTTTTCAGGTTTATTGTAACCATTCAAAATTATTTTCAAAAAGTCAATCCTGTGAATGGATGAAGAGATTAACGCAGTGCAGTAAATCTAATCAAAAAAATACTTTTGCATCATAAGAATGTCATCTTTTCTCAATCCATTTAGATTCTCACCAGACAAAAACAGAAAACATCTGCCTTGATAAAGGGATAAAGTACCAACCATATTGAATAAAGCTAAATAGCCTTCCTAAGGTATTATTCAATGATTGAATGCCCAAACTCTTCGATCAAAGTGAAATTACCAATAAAAAATCTATGATAAGCTTCTTTCTGTGCCAACCTGTCAGAAGTTGAAGCCATACAAACCAATATATCCTCTTCCATCTAGTCATTTACACAATTAATGAAAAAATGTGAATGTTTATCATTTTTCATTAAATTTTAATAATTGTTTAAAGCAATTTGCCCAAGAAAAATGCATAAACTGCTCAAGTTATTTGGTATTGGTTGTTATTGTGATTATGTCAGTTTTACTCCAATTGCAAGCCTTCAAAAAATTAATGCCCAATTGCAATCACTATTTAAATGAGTGAAAAATGTATTGCCCCATTGCAATTGCAGGGCTTGTGATTGTGCTTGGGCTAACTTATTGTGGCACAATTAACAAACCTGGTAATGGGACCTCAATAAATGAATAAAATAATTGCATTAGGACACTCAATAAAGAAGTTCCTTAACCCTTGGACTGTGGAGGGTACTTTCCCATAGCAGGACAAAGTCAGATTATTTTTGTATGGTCCTGCATATTCAGTTTTTCAAAGTTTAAGAAAAGCCTTCCAGGTGAGCTGAGGAAAAGTTGGGATACATCCAGAAAAAGTCGGTAGCCAAACTGTGCATTTTTTTCTCCCAAAAATTGTCTGTGCTCAGGGAAAAAAATATCAGGATTTTTCCCAACTTTGCCCTTAACCCCCTGTTATCATTATTTTCTTCTCCTATCTGAGGTGCAACGAAATTTCACAAAAATAGTCCAACTTGGCCGCCCAAGGGGGAAAGATCATATGTGTTCCACATCATTTCAAAAATCTATATTGAGACTATTGTGGCGGAATAATTTGGCACATTACCGTACCGTAAATCTATGCGCAATACTCTACAATTAATCTTGAACATTCCAGACTTGTCTCATGTTTTCTACAGCGTCTTGGAGAACTAACTTGCCGCCATGTCATGGAACATTCTGAGTCAGTTCAGCAAGAGATATCATTGAGTCCAGTCATTATTGTGTGTGATCATTATTTCTGTGTGAATTTGTGAAAAGATCCTTTTTGTGTTTGGGGTTAAAAGAAATACATCTTCATCTTTTTCTTTGGGATCTCAAACAAGATCCCCAGCTGAACCCCACAGCTGCTTCAAGTGTTTTATTTTTGAATTCTGCACCTTTTTGCACCATTTTTGGTGACAACTATCTCATCCAGCATGACGCATCAGGAATGTGTTGACAGGACTGTTGAATCTCCCCTCTTCTGTATCAATTAATAACAGTAAATGGATTAGCCCTGCAGGAAGTATGGAATTCTTGTTGGGGCCTCAATAAATGAAAAACTACTGCATTAGGAACTTCTAAAAATAATTTCCTCTGCCACGTTATTTCAAAACTCTTCCATTTGAGACTCTCCAACACTATCTGCATGTCAGGAATTTGTTGGCAGGACTGCTGAATTTTCTCCCCCCTCCCTTTCCGTAATTACGCTACTTGTTACCGAATCGGGACGTCTTTAATACCGTCGGGTGAACCGGTGGGTAAGGAGTAGGAGAAGGAGGTCGACGTTCTAGACACATATACGTCGTATGGTATATATATGGAGACTGTATACCGTACAGCAGATACTTGGAGTGTGGATGATGAGGAGTTCGTTTCATACTCTGTCCAAGGAGCTTCATGTCCCTGCTGTTTGCTCAGAAAAGAGGGGGTTGGGTTTGGGGGGGGGGGGGGGGAAGGGATATGGGAAGTTCCAGAGAGGTTTATAACCCTGGCAGCACAAGATATTCTGGAAACTTCCACCCATATTTTCATGCCTGCTGTTTCTGGCAAGCGCCCGGGTGTCCCCACTGTGCCCAGGAAATCCCAGCCATCCCGCCCCCGCGGGGGTTCTCCGCTCTTCTGACACACCAGCAAACCAGCTTTCCAACCCCCGATGGAAAATCCCGTGTGCGAGATGAAATCTCTCTCTCTCCCTCTCATTCTCTCTCCCTCTCTCTCTCTCTCTCTCAATCCCTGTTGCACTTTCTCTCTCTCTGACTAGAAACACCCCCCACTAGGAATCTTGGCATACCCCTTGATGGGTTTGATTTAACGTGCTTTAGGTACGCTATAATATAGATGATGCATTTCGGGAGGAGATGGTGGGGGGGGGGGGAGGCTTTGTTTGTTTATTGTCAAGCATTATTTCGGGTTCGTTTTGCACCGTGTAATTTGATTGAATAATTTCTACTCAATCCACCAAAAATAAATGACTGAAATTTTTTCAAAGCGCTTCTATTGAAGGATCGTTTCTTTATTTTGGTGATTTTTCAAACGTGGAATTTCCATTATCCTGAGATATGGTTTGCAGAATTTCAAGAAATTGAAAACCAATGAAACGTGAAAAGAAAATTCGAGTTACACATGCGAATTTTTTTTAAAAATACATTAATAATAGGCAGTGAGAAATGCGGAGTCTTGCTCGTATAATTTCAAGTCTGTTCTTTCTGAATCACTTAGTGACAAAAACTCCGTATTTTGCGGAGAAACCCACAGAAAATATTTTTTGAATTGAATAACTTTTTTTGTGGAAAATATTCGTTAAAGTTGTGTTTAAAATAATTTTTTCTGCGCAATCTCGGTTTATTTCCTGATGCTGGCATGTCTGAATCTGGAGAATGTGTCCCTTTCATTTTCAATCCCAAACTCTTTCTAACATAACAAAGCTGTTTTTTTTTGTCATAGAAAGCAACTTGAAGATCTTTTTTTTTAAACGCTGCGATGTAGAATACAAAAGATAATTAATATTTAGTTTTGGCCCGCTATTTTTACAAGAAGAAAAATATTTGACAAACAAATTTTTGGTGAACACTTACGTCTACAGTTGGGGAGAAAGAAATAATCCAGCAAGCAGCAACAAAAACAGTTTTAATATCCCAGCTGCCAAATTCGCTCAAGAAAAAACATTATTTCGCAAGATATGCGACTAAACTGCGTGCCAATACCTGCGCAAAAAAATCTCGAAAGAAAAAAAAGATCTAACTTATTGGTAGTAACGAACTCTTCCTTTCGTGATGACGTTATTCATCTAGAAATAGAATGGATATCTGACAGCCTTATAGTGCTTAGAAGTAGTTTTGAAAAATAATAAGACCGCAACCACAAAAACAAGGCGATATATTTGATCTAAATCCCTGAACCTTCGCGTCCGAAAAGTCATTTCAAAAGGGATCTTTCAATACTTCACTTCTCTCATAAATGAAACGAAATTCGTGACCAAGAATCGCGATTGGAGATAGATGATAAATTTGAAAAAAAAAGGATCATTATAAATATTATGGCGTACTTTTCAGTCTGGTCCCTGCTTTTATGCGTTTGATAAATTCATCGTAAAAAAAGCATTTCTCTTCATAATATTTTCAAGCCGGAAATCAAGTCTTTACAAAATAGACAAAACCATAAAGATCTTTGTTTTTTATCCGTAATCCCTCTCTCATTTCTAGGTACGTTGTATCCAAGAAATAAAGTGAGATAAAATAATGATTCCGTGTAATTTTTTAGATCTTATAATATAACCTTCGAAGGAAAATTCTCAAAAAATTGACATCCGTTATTTTGAATCTTTGGCTTTTGCACTTGAAAGATCCTCAAAAATTGATCGCTCAGTGTCTTTTTTTCAAAGCATAAAATCCGCAAAAAATTAAATATGGTCTCTAAAAAAAAGATCAACAACTAGTAAGCATGAGGATATCCATTTTTTTTTATCCCTGAATTCCGTAAACCTCTTTACAAACATCATTTTCCCAAGAAGTAAAGCATGGTTAAATAAAGAACCCTTTCAAAATGTGCTATCGAAAAATTCGAATTAAAAAGAAAAGAAAAAGAAACAATAACAGATACGAGATGGACAACTTTGATTTTAATTTCTCACGAGATTTCACATCTGATGAAGGATCCCTTCAAACGTTATCTTCCAGTAAAAGGTATTTTCAAAACCAAGAAATCCAAAAATAAATTGGAAAAAACTTCATATTTAAAAAAGGGTTCTGCGTTTGATCTATGAACTTGCCCTCTCCGTGTACTAAACATTATTTTCTCAAAAAGCGAAGCCAAACGAGTGGAGAAAAAAAAATCTTCCTGGCAACACTTGAATCAGGAAATATATATCCAGCAAAGAAAAGCATCAGATGAAAAAAAAACACTCCATGGAAAACATGGAAATCTTTCAGTACAGTATATACGTTATTTTCCAAACCAAACTAATCCAGAAATAATTTGTAAAAAATTTATAAAAAAAAAATCTGGGGTTGATCCCTGAACTCACCCTCTCCGTGTAATGTATGTTATTTCTATGTTATTTTGTTTTATTTGCATATAGGTATTTGAAAAAAAAGGGGCTCTGTGTTTGATTCCTGAACTCGCCCTCTCGATACATGCACTATTACATGTTATTTTCTGTATTTAAAAAAGAAACGAAGCAAGACGAGTGCTGGAGAAAAAAAAATCTTCCTGGCAACACTTGAATCAGGAAATATATATCCAGCAAAGAAAAGCATCAGATGGAAAAAAACACTCCATGGAAAACATGGAAATCTTTCAGTACAGTATATATACGTTATTTTCCAAACCGAAATAATCCAGAAATAATTTGTAAAAAATTTATAAAAAAAAATCTGGGGTTGATCCCTGGACTCACCCTCTCCGTGTAATGTATGTTATTTCTATGTTATTTTGTTTTATTTGTATATAGGTATTTGAAAAAAAGGGGCTCTGTGTTTGATTCCTGAACTCGCCCTCTCGATCCATGCACTATTACATGTTATTTTCTGTATTAAAAAAAAAAAAAAAAAACGAAGCAAGACGAGTGCTGGAGAAAAAAAAAATCTTCCTGGCAACACTTGTGTCTGGAAATATATCTACAGAAAAGAAAAGTAGATGAAAAAAAACACACACACACACACACACCATGGAAAACAGGGAGAAATTCTCGACAAGAAGCCTGGTGCTTTTCGCCCAACAGCGGGGGATCGTCGCCGCGCCGCTGGAGAAACTTCATTTGCGTCTGGAAAAGACGCGAGGGACTTTTCCGGCTTTGTAGCAATCTCATCCTCGTTTTTCATTGCCCTGTATAGAGCTCACTTATATTCTCCTTATATATATATATATATATACTGTATGTATTCTGTCATGTCTTCTTTTTTTCGCCGCTTTTTTCTTTCTTATTCCCCTTCTCCAGCATATGATACACATTCTGTAGAATATAGGAGCGAAAAAAAGTTACAAAATTTGCCGAGGCAGATGATGCTTGGTATATAGGAGAAAAAAGAGAAGTGCGTTTCTTTTTCCCCCTGGGGATGAGCTGCTTCCGGGGGTCAAGCCTGGGGGGGACTTAGCCTTGTCCAAAGGGGATTTGCTAGTGTCAAGTGACCACTTGCTGCGGGCTCTTTGATATCTTTGCTATTGAGTGGCGATGAAGACATGAGATTTTCGAATATTCAAAAAAAAAGGACGACGACGAAGTGTCTTAGAAAAAACGTCGGCTTTGGTTGATTAAGTCCTTATTTTTTAATTTAATAGAATAAATTAGTTTATCTTATTTATTTATGTTTTTTCCCGAAAATTTTCAGGATGTTTTTTTATTTTCAGCTGCTTCATTTCCATCGAAACAAGTTAGATTTTCTGTTTTTTTCAAAGAGAAAAATGAAAATCACGGATGCTTGAACTTTCATTCTTGAACTTCATTTCCTTCGGAACAAGGTAGATTTTCTGTTTTTTTTTAGAGAGAAAAATGAAAATCACGGATGCTTGAACTTTCAACAGTAAAATTCAAAAAAATTAAAAAATGATCAAACATCGGCTTGATATTATGTCCTACAGAGTTTTAAAACTAAATTTGTGTTGCTTCTGTTTGCAAAATCATGAAAAATGAAATCCCGGCCTTGGAGGGCTATTTGAAAGTTGATTTGATATCCTACTTTCATGCACTTTTTTCATTCTATCTGGAAATTATTTTCATTTAACAATCTACCACAGTATAACACAAAATAACCCTTGTATATGTTTCGTCACGTCGGGTGCCGCGTATTTTTTTTAATGAAAAATAATTCATTCATATAATTTGATATAGGTATAACTGTTGAAAATTTTCTCAAACTCAATGTTGGAGAAAAAAATAATCCAGCTGATCTCGCAGAATATTTCAAGTTCAAAAAGTTCAAGTGGCGGAATAAATGTATGCCGTGTCTATGTTTTTTTTAGCGGAATGAAAATAAGCGCAGATAAATTTTCATATACTGAATAAATGCTGCATTGAAAGAACAAAATCATTTTTTATTGGCGATGCAATTTATGTTGTTATTTTTTTAAAAGACCCCTTATACTCACTATCACGGAAATTGAATAAATCTTGGCGATTTTTTTGCCGGGAATGACACACAGAAGCGTCTAAATGAAAGCAACTGAAAATAAAAATTTCTTGTATTTCATGGGAGTGTTTTCTCCCTCACGAAGTATCACAATTTTCGTCACGATTAATTAACTGAAGAATCGATCAAAGTTCTGTATGATGAGTAATTCAGCAGGATTCTTGATTCTGGATACGTCTGAAAAAAAAAATACTGACAAGAGATGTTCAAATATGGCGGTCAAATTAGATCCTTGGCGTCCATGAAAAATAGAACCAGCAAAAGATGAATTTAGATAAATTAAGTAATTTACAGTATATGCATGTACAAATACACCCATTTATAAATATTTTCCTGCTGCACAGAATTACGAAAAAGGGCACTTGATAAAACACCGTCTTGGGCCAGAGACTCGCTGAAAGCTATTGGCAATCACGAGCAGGAAATTACAGCCTTCGCTCTCGAGACGCCGGAAACGCGGGAACCGGAAACGCGTGCGAGAGGAATCCTGAATGCTTTCATTAGTGCGTGGTCATAGGACCCAGTTCCTGCTTCCGGGGAAAATAAACGCACTCCTGATTCCAGAACAAAAGGGACCCCAAAATCGATCCCCGGGCGTTCATATACATATGGGGATTTCCTTTTACAGTAGCTGCTTCTCCTTCTTCTTCTGCTTGTGGATATGCTGGGAAATGTTGATATCCAAGGGGTTAACAAGCAAAACCAGATCATCAAAAGAAACGACCATTTGATTAATCGAGTCTGGATAATAAATGACCCCTATTTTTGATGATTCGAAGAAGTACTGTACCTTGATGCTGGCATAATTTGTATTTTCCAAAAATTAAGTCTATCATCTGTT